GGGTCAGCCGATGCCGGGTCAGCCGATGTCGGGTCAGTCGACGGCGGGTCAGCCGATGTCGGGTCAGTCGACGGAGGGCCAGGCGCTGGCGGCTCAGGCGGTGGCCGCTCAGCTGACGGGGGACCAGTGGATGGAGGGCCACTGGATGCCGGATGAGGCTGTGGTGGCCCAGCCGATGGCGGCTCAGCTGACGGGGGAGCAGTGGATGGAGAGCGACTGGATGTCGGGCCAGCCGGTGGGAGACCAGTGGCTTGGAGACCAGTGGATGTCGGGTCTGCTGACGGTGGGTCAGCCGATGCCGGGTCAACCGACGGCGACTCAGCCGACGGGGGACCAGGCCCAGTGGATGCCGAGCCAGTCGAATCCGGTGCACGAGCCACCTTCGAGCCTACCAGGAGGGAGGCCTCCGGCGGTGGCTCCGTCTGGCCCCTCTTGCCTTTCGCGGAGCAGGTTGTTGCCGGAGGCGCAGGCAGGTTCGTTGGGTTTGACGGAATGGGTGGTGTTAGCGTGTGCGGCGCACGACCACACGGTGCTGACGGCGACGACGAGCCAACGAATGACGGAGGTGATGTCGAAGGCCCTGGTGGTGATGCGGGCCGTACCGGCGCGGGCGGACTTTCGCAGCTGCCCGTGGAACAGTCTATACCTAGCGGGGCTGGTCTGCAGCCGACTGCCCGAGCACCAGGGCTGGCTCCGCGCGTTCGCGGACGTGATCCCGCGACCACCCGCCCTGACTGACTCCTGGTACCTCGCCTGCGTGCTGGAGTTGGATTCGGACGCGCGCCATCTGGCGCGCCAACTCGCAGCCGCGGCTGGCGTCAACTGCGTCGACGCCGCCGAACGTCTTTTTTGCGAGACGTTCGCACCCGCCGCACACGTGTGTGCGCCCCTGCCGTCGCGCGCCGAGGCGCTACAGCTTACCTGCGCGTTCTCCAAACTCGAGTACTTGCTCACGGGACCAGGGCGCACATTACCCTGGGAATTGCTTGAGCATCGCGAGCCGGTCAAGGGGCAGCGACTGCTCCCGTTCTTGAAGCGCGTGCTTGGCCCTGCCGCATGCAGCAAGGTCACCGCGCTCCTGCGCGACCGCCTGCCGCCGCCGGCGAGCTGGTTCCGCTTGCGTAACGAACGCTTCCTCACCTACGTTTTAGAGTGCGCGCTTTCCCCCTGGGACTGCCCGCGAGAGCCTACTCACGCCGCGCGGAACGGAGAGGCCCAAACACAATCCCGGGGGTCGGAGGCTGCGCCAACACCATGCCGAGGACCGAAGGCAGCCCAAGTCGAGGTGCTGATCCCTCCTCCGGCTCCGGGGCCGGTGGCGTACATGAAAGAGGTGCTGGCGGAGTGTGCGACGACGGAAGCGGAGGAACGGCGCAGGTGGAGTGTAGCGCAACGGGAGCAGTGGGCGAAGGCGCGGCACGACATGGCTTCATTAGCGGTGACGAAGTTGTGGTCGAGGTTGCCGCGCGCGGTGGCGGCGACGGCGAGTGAGCCGTGGTTGAAGGTGGGTTGGCGTTGGGTGAGTCTGGCGGGGATGCTGCATGACGTTTACGGATCCGAGCAGGTGCTTGCGTTGGCGAAGAAGTGTGAGATGGAGGTCGCGCGACCGTCTGGAGTTTCGCCTCTTTGGTATCTGGCGGAGTTGTTGAGACGTTATGTTTCGAACCGCCTTATTGCGCGGCGGCTAAATGGGTGGCGAAGCCGCGGGGTGGAGCTGCTCGACTGGGAGTGCTACATGCCGGTGTATCACGACAACTTTCCGACCGAGTTCGGGCAGTTGCCCAACTCCGAGGCGTCTCGCACACTCGTGTGCGTCGCCTCGCGCACGCTTCACTGGGTCATCCACGGCTCGGAACGGTTAGGAGCTGAACCCGCGTCCCAACACGAGCGCGCCGTGGAAAGCATCTACCGCGTACTGGGAGCGCGCCGCTGCAAGGATCTGGTCGCAGTTTTCCGTCCGCAAGTGGCCGCCGTTGGAGACTCCCTCGCCCACGCCGACGATCGCTGCTTCCTCGGCTGCATGCTCAAAAACGGCGGCGTCGTCCTCGAATGTGTTGCCGCCTTCTGCGACGCCCTCCCCCCCCCGGATCAAAATAGCCACCAGCCCGAACTCCCCCCCAAAAACGGAGTTGGCGAACAGCACGAACCTCTCCCACACTGCGCGAGTTTTTCTGTTGCACAGAATTGTGGTTGAGTGGTGTAAACACTCAGCCAGATGACGTTGGTGCGCTGATGTCGGTAGAGCGATAACACAGCGAAGAAGGAAAGGGCTTACTTAAGACGATGTCGGTGATCCGAAGACATGACGTCCACGGCAGTGAGTAAGGACGGAGAGGGGCCCGACGAGTGGCACTGAACGAGCTGGTTGAAAGGTCGAATGGTTTAGCATGAGGATGTAGTCCGAGAGGAGGGTGAGTAGAGAGACGGAGGCGGCAGTAATTCTGGCCAACACACGGAGCGCAACGTACCGATGTTTAATTTATGAGGGTATTGAGAAAGATGGCAAGAACAAAGTGACAGTGACGTTGGCACCTGTTCTAACGGCCTCGATTTGTACCCTTTTTGGAAATCGAAGTGGGATTGTACCTACTTCGATTTCCAAAAGGGAAAAAAATATTGGTGCTACGTTGTGCGCTGCTGGGGGGCGTGCGGGTTTCCTCACCAGAAGCGTCCCCCTTCAAATGAAACCGGAATCCGATCGGCCCTGCCGTTAGCTTTGTGCGGGTTGAGGGACTTTTTACGAACTCGGTAACCTACCCTGAATTGATTGTCAGCCCCTCCCGCTCACAGCCCCCCTCGGAGTGCGCGCAAGCGAGCAAGCTATCGCGCCACAATGCTTGCCTGAGGGGACTGACGGCGCCACAATGCTTGCCTGAGAGAGGACTGTAGCCGCTACTCGGACAGGCTCCTAGCCGTCTTCCCGACTCAAAGGGGCCCCGATTTCGACCCAACACGGGGCGTGTGTTGGTGTTCGCATTTCCGCTCCACGAGCTGGCTTAGGCAGTCTTGGTTCGTAACCTCAGACAGCCCTGTTGACACCGCCGCAATAAAAAGGAAATTTGGACCCGGAAAAGTCGCGACCGGATGAAGTGCAACGCTGGTACGAGGACGTGTGCGACTCTGGGCACCCGCATAGCGGTGTTTGTGTGCCCACCCCCGTCGGCAGCGGCCAACGGGCCGTCGACAGTAGTGGAGAGGCCGTCAGTTATAATGCACACGAGCATGCTGACACCCCGGTCCGTGGAGGAGCGTCTACCAGTGGTCCCGGCGTCAAGATCGTTTTCCGGTCAGTCGCTTCCTGGGGCACTTCTCCCCTCTGTGTCTGTGTCGGCGCCTCTCTCGGCACCTGGGTCTACGTCAAGAGCGGGTCCGAGTGCTGTGCCTCGACTTGTCTGGGCGCCTGGGTCTGTCCCAGGGGCGGGTCCAGGTGCTCTCCCTCGTCTTGTCTGGGCGTCGGGTGCTGTCTCGGGACCGCACCCAGGACATGCTCCGGGTGGTGTGGCGCCACCGAGGAGGACGGACGGGTTGGTGAGGCAGCTGTCTCGTACGATGGCGTCAGTGTCGGTGGCGGAACGGGCCAAGACTCCGGCCCCGGCCCAGGCCTCACTCCCGGCCCCGGTCCCGATTTCGGCCTCTGGACCGGGTTCGGCCTCTGGACCGGGTTCGGGCAGTTTGGTTGCGCGCGTGTTGATGGGTTGTATGCAGGCGGAGAGCTCGCGCGGACGGAGTCTGAGTGAGGAGACGGAGGCGAAAGTGGTGCGTATGGCGGCTCGGGCGGCAGTGAAGGGCGTGGCGAAAAGACGGAAGCTGGTTGTGGACTTTCATAGTTGCGAGTGGCGTCTGTTTAAATTAGCGACGTTGATGCGCGAACGGTTGTGTACTGAGCGGGATGGGAGGCAATTGGGGCTGGAGTTTGGGCAGTTGGTGGAGAAGGTAGAACGAGTGGCACCGCCCCGGCCGCCGGGGGTCTCGGCGACCTGGTTCCTGGCCTGCGCGTTTGAGGTGTTGCCTTCCATGCGCTGGCTTTCGCAGTGGCTGCCGAAGCTGCGCGAAACGGGCTGCGTCGGCTGGGACAGCCGCGCCCGGCTCTGCGCCGGCGCCGGCGCTGCGCTGGAGCTCCAGCGGCTGCCCGAGGGGCCAGAGGCCCGGGAACTCGTCATCTTGCTCGCGCGCTCAGAATGTGAGCTCTGCCGCACACTTGTGCGCGAACCCCACTGGGGCGACGAACGCGCCCTACCGCGATTCAGCAGCTCCGTCGAGCTCCTCCGACGCATCCTCGGCGACGAAGGCTGCGAACGCGCCGCTGCCGCACTCGTCCACAACACCCGTCCGCCACCAGAATTATTTCTCACCACCGACGAGTTCCTTGCCGACCTCCTCCTCACCGCCCAGTTAACGCCCACCTGGCGCCCAAAGGTCTGCCACCAAGAGCACCACGGGTTGCTGGACCACTACGAGCTGGATCAGCGAGAGCAAGGGCGGCAAGGAATACAAGACCAAGAGCCGGAGCCTGACCCCGACGAGCCAGATCCGGAGCCGGAGCCCCGAAAAACAGTCTGCTCTGTAGCGCCGGAGTCGGACGGGAAGACAGTTGGCTCACCCACGGAGGCGCGATCGGCGGCGGAATATTTTGCGGCAGTGTTGGCCGAGCAGTTTGCGGCGGAGCGTCTCGCGCGTGCGGCGGATCCGTCATGGGTAGCGAGAGAGAAGGCGGTGCCGGATGGGTGCAAGCGGGCGATAGCGGAGTGCGTGGCGCAGGAGTTGGAGAAGCGCCTGGAGCAGCTGCGTTCAGGACTCAGTACGCCGTGCGTGCCGATGTTTCGAATGTGCGGATGGCGCTACCTGCATCTGGCGGGATTGCTACAGGATAAATTGGATGCAGCAGAACTAGGGCGCTTGGTCGCACTTGCGGAGACGGTGGTCTCGCGCTCACCGGAGGATTCGGTGCAGTGGTTCCTAGCTTGTCTGATATGCTCTTACCTGCACAGCGGGTGCCTCGAGTACCGACTCTCGCAGTGGGTACCGGTCTACGACGGGGAAACCTCCAATGACCTCAGAGGTCGCCGCTTCGGTTTCTGGAACCAGACGGTTCTGGTGCACCGGGGCGTCATCCCCGCCGGCTTCGGCCAACTGCCCGAGTCCATTGAGTCGCGTCGGCTCCTCGCCTTCCTTGAACGCGGCGTACGTTGGCTGGGCCAAGGTACACGCCGCTTCGACCACACCGTGTCCCAGCGATCTTCCTACTGGGCCGAACCTGCCCAAATGTTCCGCCGGGTCCTTGGAGCACACTTCCACCCCTTCCTACAACTCTGCAGAGCCCAACTGAACGTCTCTGACAAGCTCCCGGACGTCTCCCTCTTGCAGGCACTGATGCAACAGACACACAAATCCGCCGTAGTCAGCTTCTGCCGCAACTGGCTCGTCGAATCCACCCACCCCGGGCTCGAACCCAACCACGCCCAAACCAGCACGGAGCAGGTGGGAACCAGCGAAACCAAGCATGGCGGCAAGAAAAGAACAAAGCTCGCGACCCAGCCCCCCAAACGCCCACGAACTAGGTCCGTCGTTCGATCGGAGGCGGGTGGGATCTGTCGTTGAGGGTTCGCAGGTGGGGGGGAGAGTCTTTTTCCGAAAGGGTGGCAACTGGACAGTTTTTGTCCCTATCGCGGGCCAAGCCCCGCACGGTCAAGTCCTACCGAGCGTGCCACTTTCGTCACGCCGAAAGTGTTAGTTCACGACGAGTACGCTGCCCTAGGCTAGGGTAGGTATTCAGGTCGGAGTACTACTTTAGGCGAGGGTGGCCTGTTCGATGTTGTTGCTTATTTTTGTGACTGGATGTTGGGTTCGTTGGGGCGTATTATTAATTTACCGATCATACTCCTGTAGATGAAGTGTAGCGCAGGCGCCAAGAAATTGTTGGCTTTACGGACGCCACTCGTGGTGTTAATGCAGCCTGCGGCCGAGGTGGCGCAGAACCGGCCCTCGGTGATACGGCACACGAGCACGATACAGCCGGCTACCCCACCACTTGTCCGAAGGGATCACCCGTATGCACTGCCCGAGTCTCCGGCAGCACGACGCGGAATGTGGCCGCCAAAAGTCACCGACCCGTTCGCGCCGCTGGAAACATACGTCGTGCCGGACTCGCCCGAGATGATGGAACAGGACATAGAGGAGGGCACGGCCGAACAGCCGGACTTGCTTGTGCCTGCACCGTGGGCTGCGCACTCTGTACGCGAACCGCAGGGGTCGGACCCGCTGGTATCGGACCCGTTGGAGACCTGCGTAATACCGAATTGGCTTCAGCCCCCAGAGATGCGGGAAAACGCTGCGATGGACACCTACGTGATGCCGGATTTGGACCCCCCAGAGATGGGCCAGCCAGAGATGGGGGAAAACGCAGCGATGGAAGTGGAAGAAGCCGTCACCCTGTCTCTTTTTGCGGCCCCGTTGGGTCCAGAGGAAGCAGCGAACCGGCAAGAAGCAGCGAGCGGGAACGAAGAGGCAGGCACCGCGTTACCGAGCTGTTCTGTGGTCCTCACACGTTTGGTGCTGCCGACACAGCGGGTCCCGGCTGAAGAGTCGGAGGGCGGTTTGACGGCAGCTGCGATGGCGGCATGTGAGGTGTCCGAAGGGAGTACGGTGTTGGCACTGGATGAAGGGGAAAAGACGAGGTTGGTGACGTTGGCGGCTCGGGTTGTGGCTCGTACTCCGAAGCTGGCGGGCGCAATGACGCTGGACTTTACGAGTTGCGGGTGGCGGTGGTACAAGGTGGCGCGAATGATGCGAAATGAATTGGAGAACGATTCTGGGAAGTGGCGTTTCGCGACAGTGGTCGCTGAAGCACGGGGGGTGGCGAGGAAGCGGGAGGCCGCGTGTTTTTCGGACGTGTGGTTCTTGGCGTGTTTCCTGGAGGCGTGTCCGTTGACCTGTCGACTCCATTTCTGGTTGCCAAAGCGGGTCTTGGAGCCTGGCTGGACCTCGCAGGAACGCCTTTACTGCCCGGCCACCGAGTCTGCGTGGCTGGCGGAGAAGCTGCCGGAGACGGAGGAGTCGATCAAGCTCGTATGTGCACTCTCGCGGCTTGAGTGGTGGCTCCGACAATTTACTGGTGTGCCCACTGGTGTGCCCAGCGACCGGGAGGGATGGCGGAGGCTGGCGAAGGAGACGAAGTCCCTGACGCTCGCAGTGCGTCTTCGCGAAACCTTATGTGAGGTTTGGAATATTGCCGTCGACGCCTGGCGGCACCGCCTGGCGCCCGAGCTGGCGGCCGACAAGACTGTGTCGAACGATGCTTTCGTCGCCTGCCTACTGGACCTGTCAGTCGCGAACTTGTGGAAGCAACCGGGCCGGCTACAAAGCACACCGGTTTCCGAAATGGTCGAGGGCGTGATCGATGACTGTCTGCTGGCAGAGCAGGCGCCCGACAGCGGGGAGGAAATGCTGTCGGTGGAAGGACGTGCCAAGGTGGCGGAGCACATCATGACGGCGGTCACGACGGCGCTCGGGACGTGGAAGAAGGGCAAGAAGACGCCGGATCTGCGGCTGCAACGGTGTGAGTGGAAGTGGCTGTTTTTCGCAGGTCTTGTATATGAGCACGAAAGTACAGCGAGCATGAGGGAACTCCTGACACAGGCGGAGTCGGTGGTACCGCGGCCGGCGGATGTGTCCCCGCATTGGTACCTAGTGCGTTTGATTGGCACGGCTATACAAACCTGCAACCTGCAGAAGTTCTCGGGCAGGTTCTGGAACACGACAAGCATCTGGGAGTGCCCGGGCACTGTTTTCAGGGCCCACTTTCCGCACGAATTCCAACAGCTGCCGCGGTCCGCAGAGTCTGCACGGCTGTTGGCCTGCCTCTGCACCACCGCCGGCTGGCTAGCCACCGGGGTCGCCAACATGCGAGCCAGTCGCCGTATGTGGACATCTGTTCACGCCACTCAAGCCGTCCAACTTTTGCGCCAAGTCCTAGGCCAAACGCGCTTCGGCCAACTGGTGAGAATCTTCAAAGACCAACTCTCTAGCAACATGGCACCGCCCGACGACCTGCCCGACCACCGCTTCGTGCAGTGCCTCCTCAAAAGCGCAGGCGTCGAAGAAACGGAGGTCATCCTCTTCTGCAACTCGTGGAATCACCGGGCCAAAATGCAACCTCGCAGTAAGCAAACGAAGGTCGTTTCCGGGATGCGGGGCATGCGCAATGAGGACCTGCCCCTAAAAAAGCGGTGCTTCGTTGCAGACTGACCCGGCATTTGTTTTGTTGGACATTTTTGTGTTTTCATTTTCTGCTCCTTTCATTTACTTTCGTTTGTTGAGATGAGGATATGTCGTGGCGGTCGCCAGAACCACTGGATAACCATGGCCGTGTTTGGGGTGCCCAACGAGGGAAGAATACCGCCTGAAGACTCCAAAAGGTCTAACCCGGGGAGGCCGGAAGCGGGAGCGGCGGGGCCTCCTCGACCTCAGGTCTTCCGGGAACCGTTATTGGAAGCTACGACGCAGACCTGGTCAGTCCCACGGGAGCAAGCTTCATGGGAGCAAGCCCCAGTAGTGCAACCTTTGAGCCGAGCCTGGCTAGCTGCAGTCCAACCCCCGCAAGAACCTTGGAATCCGGCTTGTTTTCCTATGACGCAAGCCACACGACAGTCTGACTCACCACAGCTTGTGGGTCCTACAATGCAAATGTCCGAACAACCGGGAACTAGCGGACAAGCCTGGTTCCGTGTGGCGCAGGACCAAATCGTGGATCAAGTCGTGGGTCCTTTGAAACGAGTCAGCTTTCCTTCGATTCCAGCCCTATTAATAAGGCCTTTAAGCCGAGCTTGGTTCTCTCAGACGCGTGTCCCCTTCGATCCATTAATGAAGCCTTTGACGGAAACAGTGCCGGATCCCCAGTTGGAAGTCTCGAGAAAACCACTGGTGGATCCTCCGAAAAAAGCACCGGGTGGACCGGTGGTGGAGGCCCCGCAGGAACAAATGATCGAAAACCCACAGGAACCGGTGACAAAAGCTTATCCGGAGCCTTTGGTAGGGCCGTGGTTGGGATCTGACTTAGTAGGGCGCGTTCTGGAAGAGTGTTTGGCCACGGAACAAAATCTCAAGCCGACCCTGTGTGCGGGTCAGGAAACGGATATCGTGAGATTGGCAACGGCGTCTATTTTGAGAGAGATAAAGGATCGAGGATGTGAAGTTCCAATTTCTGATTTCGAAGCTTGCTCATGGCGATGGCTGAATTTAGCACTACTAATACATGAGTGGGAAGTCAAGAATGGCAGCGTCAGAAAAGTGGTTGCAGAGATAGAGCGTCTTATACCGAAGCCGGTTGGTTACTCTGATACATGGTTTCTAGCTGGAATGCTACATAGGTTCCTTTCGTCAGGATGCTTAGCTCGTTGGTTGCCCAATCATCATTCCTACGGCTGGAATTGTAGGAAGTTAATTTTTCGGGTCACCTTCCCAGATGGTGTTGTTCGTTTGCCGGAGAGTGAGGAATGTGTAAACCGTATTTGTGCCAGCTCTAAGTTAGCGTGGTGGTTGTGTGAGGCACAACGAAATATTCAGATTGACGAAGAAACATGGAAGGTGTCGAAATGGCCGACGAAGCTCTTTAATGTTCAAACTCCTTTGGGCAAACGGGTATTTGAAAAGGCGATAGAGGCAATGAGGCAAGTAATCCCACCTCCGTCCGGTATGAAATTGTCGAATTCAATGTACCTAGCTTGCTTGCTCAAATACGTCGATAGAGTCTCACAAAAGCAGAGGAAGATCAAGGGTTATCCTAAAATCACCATTGATCCTACATCCGACCGGCCCTCTTCATCTATTCCACCACACTGCAAACCATCGTGTTCGTCTCCGTTTTTGGTTGAATGCGATGACACAATAAATCCCGACAGGTCGGTAGCTGCGGAGATGGGGAGCTTCATGGCCAGTGTGCTTGAGGGTTGCAAGGAGAGGGAGAAAATGGAGGTAGGAGATCTGACGAGAACACAGAAGAAAAGCGTTGCGAGGTATGCCAGAAGGAAATACCGAGCTGTGTTGTCCCAGAAGAGCAAGTCGATAAAGGACCCGAATTTAATAGCGAACGCATTCAGAACGTGCGGATGGCGATGGTTATGTCTGGTGGGACTAATGAACGAGTACTTAGATCCGGGAGAGCTTCACCAATTAATTGCTGACAGTGAAAAGATTGTGCCGAGGCCGAAACATGTGTCACCATTATGGTACCTGGCTTGTCGAATGCAGAACTGTGTGAAGGGGTCAAGAATTATACCCGGTTTCGGCAAGTCGTTGGATGCGCTACCTGCATGGTGGGTACTCAACATGATAATTTACCAGGATCATTTCCCACAAGAGTTTGGTGAGCTACCTATGTCTGAGACATCTACCCGCTTAATTGTCTTCAGTTCCAGAGCTACACATTGGCTTGCATCAGGAATCCGCCACTTCCGTCTTACCTCCGCTACATGGTCGCCAACATCAAATCACGACATTGTGGATATATTCCACACCGTGCTAGGAGACCAATGGTTCAACGAAATGATCAATTTAATCAAACCAAAAATCTCTCAAATTGCTCCTAATGAGGGTCCACAACAAATGCAAAGATTATCGCCTAAGTCGATTATGGAAACTGTTCTAAGATACGCAATGGTTAGTCGAAAGGCCAGCGAGGCATTCTGCACAGCTTGGCAATTCGATGTACCCTCGAAGAAATACGGACTGATGAACTCGGAGGCGGATGAAGAACCGACGGCGAAAAGACTATGCAGCGGATAACCCCACCCAGGCTTTAACGTGACGGCTCACCGAGCTTTAGCGTGATGACTAACCGGGCTTAGCGGACGGGCTTAGCGTGGGCCCTTTTTGTATCGCCCTGTTTTAACAAACATTTACTGCGACATCTACTGCCAGTGCATCTGTGACAAAACCACTAATACAACAGCCTTGTGATGTGAGGAGCTAGCACCAACGCGAGGGTCTAAAAGCAATGCGAATGTCAGGCAGGCTCCGTACGCAACTTTTACACAAGTACCGCTGGCACGAAACCTGCGTACATGGCCCTTAGTGCGCCTTGGACAAAAGGCGCACTAAGGCAACTCCGTTCCTGTAATAAAGGCGCCGTTCCTGTAATAAAGGCGCCGTTCCTGTTATAAAGGCGCCGTTCCTGTAATAAAGGCGCCGTTCCTGTAATAAAGGCGCCGTTCCTGTAATAAAGGCGCCGTTCCTGTAATAAAGGCGCCGTTCTGTAACTCCTTTTGTCCAGGAACGGTCATGGACAAAAGGAGTTCCATTGACAAGTGTGTCCTGGCGGGCGGCCATTCCTCGCACACATTACGGAACAAAACCCAACACCCCAAAATGAGAAAGAACAACGAGAGGATGGGCGTTGCATCCGTCAACGGTATGCTGCGGACTCGCTAAGTGAAATTCTGAGACAAGTTGAAGACATTAAAATGAAGGCTCTTGACAAAGGAGACGGTGGTCGAAAAGAGATGCGTAGAACGACGGTACTGGACCTTGTGAGCGGGGTCGATACCACAAGAGGCCGAGTAGGGCACTAATACAGAAGTAGGTGGTCATGTGAAGAAGAGGTGGGCATCTTCTTCCTCCGCGGAAAGATTCGTTTGGTCTACGGTACGTCGTGGTTGGTGACGGTACGTCGCTGGTGAGCCACTTGCGGCGGCGCCACGTCCGGCCAGTTGACCGAGACAGCATATTACGCATCCCACCCGGGGACTGCTTATACATAATTTTTGGCCTTGAATGAGGATATGTTATGCCGGCCGGGACACTGGGTGGATAATCCTGACTTTGTTTGGGGTGGTCCGTGTGGGGGGGACGACGACCAACCAGTCCTCGTTGGAGGAGGCTTCGTTAGAGCCACGGAAGGAAGTTTCGAAGTCGATGGGGGGACCTGCACTCCTGGGACCTCCACTCTTCGTGAAAGTGTCGACGGAACTGTCCGTCCCACCGCGGACCACCTGGGCTGGTCCTAATTTAGTTGCCCGGGCGTTAGACGAGTGCTTAGAGAAGGAGAAGAACCTCAAACCGGCCCTCGGGCCATATGAGGAAGAAAAGGTTGCGCGTTCGGCTAAGGACGCTATCCTAAGAGAGCTGAGAGACCTGAGAGACCTGAGAGACCTGAGAGAGCTGAGCAACCGAAAAAGTAAGGCAGGAGACTTGTCGTCAATTTCCGACTTATCGTCGATTTCCGATCTGTCGATTTCCGATCTGTCGATTTCCGATCTGTCGATTTCCGATTTCGAACGCTGTTCATGGGCATGGCTAAAATTGGCATTGGTAACGCGTGAGTATCAACACAATGATGGTGGCGGACTGATCTCACAGTTGGAAGAGTTGGTGGTGCGGCCGCCTGGTTTATCTGATACGTGGTTCTTAGCCGGTGTCTTATATACATTTCTGCCTTATATGCGTCGGTGGTTGCCGCCGAAGCTCTCATCCAAGGGTGGTTGGGATTGCCGGAAGATGATTTTTCGGATCTCCTTTCCAGACGGAGTTGTTCGTTTGCCGGAGAGTGAGGAATGTGTAAACCGTATTTGTGCTTACTCAAAGTTAGAATGGTGGTTCCGTCAGGCTTACACCAATGCTCACATTGATGAGGAAACATGGAGAGGTCTTTCGAAGCGACAAACCGAGTTCTTCAGAGTTAAGCGGGTTTTGGGTAGGCAAGCGTTTGATGACGCTATACAAGCAATGAGGGTTCGAATCCCGCCTCCGGCCCATGTGAAATTGTCAAATTTACAGTACCTTTCTTGCTTGCACAAGTACGCTGTTACCACTCCTGAGAAAATGACGAAGAAATTTCGGACCCGTTATCCCAAGGCAACACGTTATACTCTGCCCTACTCATCCAGTGACCCTTCTTCGTCCAGTTCTGTTCCACCTGAAGCCATTCCATCAGAAGCCATTCCATCAGAAGCCATTCCCTCAGAAGCCGTTCCGACAGAAACTGTTCCGACAGAAGCCGTTCCTGCGCTGTCTGGTTTGTCACCGGCCTCGGTAGATGTCGAGAGCTCGGTTGCTGCCGACAGGTCGGTTGTTGCGGAGATGACCAGCTTTATGGCCCGTGTGCTACAGGAGTGCGCGGAGAGGGAGAGAAAAGAAGGATATCTGATGACGAGTCGGGCGAACGTGGATATTGCCAGATGTGTTCTAAGGAAATATGAGCGCGCGTTAAACAAGCTGGGCGGGCGGAGTGGCGGGAATGGGCAAGTGGATAGCTGTTTCGACAGCTGCGGGTGGCGATGGTTGTGTCTGGTGGGATTGATGAATGACTATTTGGAACCGGATGAGCTTCACAACTTAATTGCCGATAGTGAAAAGATTGTGCCGAGGCCGAAACATGTGTCACCATTATGGTACCTGGCTTGTCGAATGCAGACTTGCCTTAGAGTGAAGGTCATTGCTTCGAGTTTTAAATGTTGGCTGAAAGCACTTCCGGCATGGTGGATACCCAACAGTTTAATTTACCAGGATCATTTCCCACACGCGTTTGGTGAGCTACCGATGTCTGATACATCTGCACGCTTGATTGCCTTCAGTTCCAGAGCTACACATTGGCTCGCATCAGGACTCCGCAAATTCCAACTGACGTCCAAAACATGGTCGTCTACTTTACATGACGACATGGTGACCATTTTTCATACGGTGCTTGGAGACCGGTGGTTCAGTGAGATGATAAATATAATCAAACCCAAAATCTCCGCACTTGCACTTGCCCAAGACGTACAACAAATGTTACCAGACAAGACCATCATGAAAGCCGTCCTCAAGTACGCGGGGTTGGATCGAAGGGTCGGCGACGCACTGTGTAAAGCATGGCGGTTGGATTTGTCCCTGAAGAGACCTGACATCGCGAACTCGTCTGATGATGAAGGGCCGGCGAAAAAAAGAGTGTGCGGCGGATAACCGCCTGCCAGCCCAACCGGTTGCCAGACCAGTGGGATGCCCGTAAGCCCCTCGCCGCCTGACCAGCAACAGGCTGAACATGCCGCTTGATCGTCGTCCCCTGTCATCCCTGTTTCTAGACCCTCGAGAGGGCTCCAACCATTGGGTCTATTCCCACGCCCATGGGAGAAGCCATGTCCACAGAAGCCATGATTGGCTGTCATACGAATAAGGGCCTGTCAGACGACGTGCTGGACAACGACCAGAACTCGGCTACCGCTGCTGCATTCCCGTCGTTCACCCGCATTCGTCGTTGGGCAATGTCTCGACTATCATTACTTGACCCGTACTACTTCACTTTTATTACTTGAACTTTATTTGGGAACAGTAATGAGGAATTGCCACGCCGCCCAAAAGTGCCGGTGGACGGCGGTTATACTTGGGGCGCCGGTATGGGCGGTAGAGAGCCTGCCCAAGGATGCCGGATGTCCGAGAGAGAGAGCTTTTTCTGTCTTGTCGCCAGAAGCGCAACGGAATGCGGTGGCTGGAGGAAAGACGCCGGACCCCGAGCAACCAAGCACTACGGTCCGGCTTGCAGAATGTTCCATGGACCCCTGCTCTCTCCCTTTGGCGACAGGCTTGGCGGAGCCTTGGGCGGAAGCCTGGGCAGAGCAACCAGAGGAAGCCTGGCCGAAGTCTTTGGTTGAGGTCCCGAGGGAAGCCTCAAGAGAGGGACCGGAAAGTGGAATGCCGGAAAGTGGAATGTCGGAAAGTGGGATGCTGGTAATTGGCATGCCGGAGAGTGGGATGTCGGGGAGTGGGGTGGAAACCCCGTTTGAAGCGGTGGTGGGAGCCTGGGGGCTTTTGAGGGATGCGTGGCCGGAGTGTTCGGTGCCGGGTTCGATGGAAGGTTCGGTTGAAGCTAGACCGGAGCCTGCGACCCCGCGACCATGCGAGGAATCATTGAGTGGAGCATGGGCGAGCATTGTGGCCGAAGCATTGGAGGGACTTCAGGTGGAAGCTTGTCCTCCTTCATCTCTGGTGGAAGACGAGGTAAGTCTGCCTAATTTAGTCGCTGAGGTACTATACGAGTGCCTGGAGGACGAGAAGGATCAGAAGCCGGCTCTAAGTCCTGAAGTGGAACTAGGGATTGTGAAGTTGGCCCAGGCAGGTGTCCGTAGAGAGCTCGACAAGCGGAAAATAAAGACAGACATGTCGACTCCAGATTTTGAGTGCTGTTCATGGAGATGGCTCAAATTAGCATTGTTAATGCGTGAGCTAAAATACGATGAATTTGCCCAATTGATTTCAGCATTGGAGACTTTAATTTCAAGACCGATTGGATTATCAGACACGTGGTTTATGGCTGGTATCTTACAACTATTCCTTTCACGCCGGGGGGTGGCTTCTTGGTTGCCGTCTGATGCATTGTTGAGATTTGGTTGGAATTGCAGGAAGATGATTTTTCGAATTTCCTTTCCAGACACAGTTGTTCGTTTACCTGAACGTGAGAAGAATATAAATCGCGTTTGCGCTATCTCAAAGTTAGATTGGTGGTTCTGTCAAGCAAAGCGAAATATTATCATTGACAAGAACACATGGGTAAGCGAAGAATGGCCAGCGGCTCTTTTTAGAGTTCAGCGTGCACTAGGGAAACAGACGTTCGATGACGCCGTCCAGCGAATGAAGGGTGTAATCAAACCTCCGCTTGATTTCACAAATGTTCACTATCTTGGATGCTTAATAAAGTATGTTGAGACTGCTCCTCCGAAGACCAACCGTCGTTTTCCTACAACCATCCGGGAAGCTGTGCCCTCCTCGTCCAATTCCGTTCCAGGGTCATCCTCTTCGCAACCGTCTTTGTTTGACGAGGGTATGTCGATTATTGCCGATAACTCGGTTGTTGCCAAGAGGTCGGTTGCTCCCGAGATGACCGGCTTTATGGCCCGCGTGCTTCAAGAGTGCCGGGAGAAAGAGAAGAAGTGCGAAGAATCTCTGATGACGAGCCCGGCAAAGTTGGGTATTGCCAGATTTGTTCTAACGAGATATCGGGCTGTGTTGTCCTTGAAAAGAAAGTCGGAAGAAAAACACCGTCGCTCTCGAATAGCGGATCCTTTCAGCTTCTGTGGGTGGCGATGGTTGTGCGTGGGAGGATTGATGAATGATTATTTGAAGCCGGAGTTGTTGGACAAGTTAATAGCCGATAGTGAAAAGGTAGTGCCGAGGCCGAAACATGTGTCGCGATTGTGGTACTTGGCCTGTCGATTGCAAACCTGTTTGAAGGGGGCGGATACTGTTCAAGGCTTCGGGTGCGTGGAAATGGTTCCTGCTTGGTGGTTTTTAAACACCGTGATATACCGTGATCACTTCCCCGAAACATTTGGTGAGCTGCCCATGTCTAAAACATCTGCACGCTTAATGGCCTTCACCTCCAAAGCTGCACATTGGATTGCAACCGGAATCCACAAATTCCGCCTGTCAAGCAGAACGTGGTCACCTACCTTAAATGACGACATTGTGGATGTATTCCACAAAGTACTAGGAGACCACTGGTTCAGCGAAATGATCAATATAATCAAAGCAAAAATCTCTCAAATTGTACCCGAGGAGGGCCCACAACGAATGCAGAAGCTATCAGATAAATCCATCATGGAAACCGTCATGCGGTATGCACAGGTGGGTCGAAGGTCCGCTTGTGGGTTCTGCAATGCTTGGGGCTTTGATGTACCCAAAAAGAGACACGATATGGTCGTGGATGAAGACGAACCACCAACAAAAAAGAGTGTGCAATGATGGATGGCATCATCCATGGGACACCATCATTTGTGGTTTTAGCACTTTTTGTGTTAGGAGGGGACCAGTTGACGAAGAGTTTCAGTCGGGAGGTTGTCGGATAGGGTGTACCTTTCAACTTTACACCCGGTTCAAAGTTACTTTAATTATTCAACCGCCTTTTATCATTAAGCATTTAATGAGGGTATGTTGCGGCCACCTGAATGCCCGGTCGATAACTCTGGCGATCTTCCCAATGATCGACGTGCGAGGGACGCTACCGAATGATGTGAGGAGTCCGAGACCGAGAGCTCCCGTTACGGGGCCGGTCTCGCCAGGGTCTGTGGCGCAAGAACTGAAGGACGCCTCGAAAGAATCGTCGAAAGAGTCTTTAATGGGGGTTTGTCCTGAACTTTTAGTGGACGCGTCCGGAGAAATGACAGGACTGTCAATGGGAGTTGGTCCTACACCTTCAATAAAGGGCGGGGCTGGGCCCACATTGGTTTCACGGGTGTTAGCCGAATGCCTGGAGAAGGAAAAAAACCGGAAACCCGTGCTCAGTACAAACGAGGAAGTGAGGATTGTAAGATTGGCTGAGGTCACTATCATGAGGGAGCTGAGCAAGCGGGAAGACCTATCAATTTCCGACTTGTCAATTTCAGATTTCGAGAGTTGTTCCTGGCGACAATTAAAACTGGCGTTGTTAATACGAGAGTGGCAAGGAGGCAGTTTCATTGCAGAGTTAGAAAACTTGGTACCTAGACCGGTCGGTTTATCTGATACCTGGTTTCTGGCCGGCGTCGTGCAGAGATTCCTTCCGTCTGGGTTTTTAGCTCGCTGGACGCCCTACTGGCTGCGTGGCGGGTGGGATTGCCGGAGGATGATTTTTCGGATCTCCTTCCCACACGGAGTTGTTCGTTTGCCGGAGAGTGAGGAATGTATAAACCGAATTTGTGCTTACTCAAAGTTAGAATGGTGGTTCCGTCAGGCTTACACCAATGCTCACATTGATGAGGAAACATGGATGGCCTCGGGGCAGCCACCAACGTTCTTAATGAGTGTTAAGCATTCTATGGGCAAGAAGGCATTTGATGACGCCATACAGGAAATGAGGCATCACGTCCCCCCTCCGGCTCACCTGTCAAATCTGCAATACCTTGCGTGCTTACGTAAATACGCCGAATCAACTCCTCTAAAAATGACCAAGAGTTTTCGGACCCGTAATCGCAATGATACTCTGCCCTCCTCTTCCTGTGATCCTCAGCCCTCCTCGTCCAGTTCCGTCCCAGCTGACTCCATTACGCCAGAAGCCGTTCCGTCCAGATCCCTACCAATTTCATCACCTACTTCCAGGGAATCGGCTGGTACCAATCAATTGGTTGATACGAATGAATCGGTTGGCACCAATCAATTGGTTGATACGAATGAATCGGTTGGCACCAATCAATTGGTTGATACGAATGAATCGGTTGGCACCAATCAATTGGTTGATCCGGAGATGACCGCATTTATGGTCCGCGTGCTTGATGACTGCGCGGAGAAGGAGAGAAGCGAGAAAGAAGTTGTGACGGCAGAGATGAGGGAGAGAGGTAAGGGGATAATTTTGATGACGCATGAGGCGAAGCGGGACCTTGCTCAATTTGCTCTCACCAGCTTTCAGGGAATGCTATCCACAAACAAGTCGGATGTGTCCAATCGTCGGACTGGGAGAGGGAAGCCTTTCAGTACGGCTGGGTGGAGGTGGCTGTCTCTGGTGGGACTGATGAATGACCACTTGGAGGCGGAGTTGCTTAACCAAGTTATTGCCGAAAGTGAAAAGATTGTCCCTCGGCCGAAACATGTGTCACCATTATGGTACTTGGCCTGTCGGATGCAGACCTGTCTGAAGGGAAGGCAGGTTGCTCCGAGGTTCAGCAGTTGGCTGAAAGAACCCCCGGCATGGTGGGTATTCAGCAGCGCAATTTACCGGGATCACTTCCCCGATGAGTTTGGCGAGCTGCCTGTGTCTGTGGCATCTGCACGCTTAATTGCCTTCAGCTCCAGAGCTGCACATTGGATTGCTTGCGGACTCCGCCGATTCTCGCGTCGCTCTGAGCCACGCCGGCGACGTACCTCCAATGACGACATTGTTGACATCTTTCACACCGTATTGGGGGACCGATGGTTCGGCGAGATGATCAACTTGGTCAAGCCCAAAATCTCTGCAATAGCCCACGGCCCACACCAAGGCCCACAACAAATGTGCGAGCTACCAGACAAATCCATCATGGAAGCCGTTCTCAGACACGCCGAACTGGATCGAAGAATGACCTGCGGATTCTGCAGAGCTTGGCAATTTGACGTAGCTCTAAAAAGGTATGGTAACATCGCGGATCCGAACTCGTCCACAAACGATGAAGAGCCGACGAAAAGAGTACGTAGCGGATGACAAGTGGACCCTTGCCTAGTGGACCCTTGCCTACAGTGGACCCTTGTCAACAGTGGACCCTTGTCTACGGTGGACCCTTGTCTACAATGGACCCTTGTCTACAATGGACCTTGTCTACAGTGGACCATTGCCTACAGTGGACCATTGCCTACAGTGGACCATTGCCTACAATGGAGAGTGGATCCTTGCCATGCAGGATGACCCTCGTTGTGCCTGTTTCCAAACTTCCGAGCTCGGCACCCTCTCTCAGCCCAACCATTGCTGTTCGACGAAGGTGTCCGAAACATGTGTCGCCGAAACAGGTTGTGGCACTTGGCCTGTCGGGTGGTAAATTGAGGTCGCTTCACTCATACATTTGGCGAGCCACCGCTATGAGATGACATTTTGTACCACTTCGAACACTTTATTGCACTGCGGCTGACCCGCGGAGTGGCTCTGTTGTCGACGAGGTGCAGTCTGGAATTTGTGCGATCGGGCCCCTTATCTCTCAGCCCCTCGTGTTTCGGCCTCTCGTAGTTTTATTGGTAAAACTCCCCCATTTTTGGAGGACCGGAATGAGGGTGTGTTGTGGCGATCAGAAGACTCGATGGATAGCCTTAGCTGTACTTGGAGTGCCGCGACCTTTGGGAGGGACCTTGCCTCAGAGTCCGCGAACGGGAGAAACGGGTACCGAAGGAGAAACGCTTGACCGTGCGCCAAATACTGCAATGGTAACAGAATCACTGCCTGAGCAAACCTGGCCTCCCGTGGTAAGCTGGACGGAACCTTGTAACGAACCAGAGTGTTTGGCGGAAGCTCCGCTGGAGCCATCTATGAAGATCCCACTAAAAGCGTCAAGTGAACTGTTGATGGACGACCCGAGAGAACCTTTGATGGAAACGAGCCCTGAGGTCCCACTGGGACCTCCAGCGGAAGTGTCCACGGAACCCCTGGTAGAAGTCTCGAGGAAACCTTTCGTGGAGGCAGAGCTTGAGCCTCGGATGGGCGTTCGCTGCCAACCATTGACGGAAGCCTTGAAACCATTGCTTTTGACTTTGACGGATACGTGGCCCGAACCTTCGGTGGCGGTCTCGACCCAACCTTTGGTGGTGACCAGGCCGGAGCTTTTGGTGGAACCTGGGCCAAGACGCGGAGTAGAAGACAGGCCAGAGCCAACAGCCTCGCGGGAACCGTGGGTAATGCCTGAGAGGGAAGCCCGCCCTGAGCTTGTGACAAAGGCTTCACGAGAACCATTGATGGAGGCTTCACGAGAACTGTTGGTGAGGGCCCCGGAAGCTTGCCCTCCACCATCGGTAGAAGCCTGGGCTGGGCACGACTTAGTCGCTCACGTGTTGAAGGAGTGCTTGGAGGAGGAGAAGACGCGGAAACCGTCGCTTACTGGACGCGAGGAAAGGCGTATTGTGAGCCTGGCTGGGGACGCTATCCTGAAAGGGCTAGCGAAAGTAAGAAACGACGTGCCGATTTCCAACCTGTCGATTTCTGATTTCGAGTGCTTTTCATGGAAATGGCTGAAATTAGCATTGCTAATGCGGGCAAACGGTCAGCAAGAACCGACTGGTACCTTCACTGACTTGATTACACAGTTGGAAGAATTTGTTTCAAGGCCGATTGGGTTAAGTGATACCTGGTTTCTGGCTGGTGTCTTGCAGAGATTCCTTGGGCATGGATGTTTGTCTCGATGGTTACCACGTGGTTTAGCATCGAACTGTGACTGGGGTTGTCGGAGGCTGATTTTTCGCGTCTCCTTCCCAAATGATGTTCTTCGTTTGCCTGAGACTGAGGATTGTATAAAACGTGTTTGCGCTATCTCAAAGCTAGATTGGTGGTTACGACAAGCAAAGCGAAATATTCGTATTGATGAAGAAACATGGACCAGTTTCGAAAGGCCAGCGGAACTTTCCAGAATTCAACGTAATTTGGGCAAGCGGACATTTGACGCCGCTATCGAGACAATGCGGGTTCTAATCCAGCCTCCGTCTTACTTATCAAATCTACAGTACATTGCTTGCTTACTCAAGTATATTGAGATTAGTCCGCCGAAGATACGTTGGGCCCGTCGTTCTGAAACCTCCCGTAGTTCTCTGCCCTCTTCGTCGAGTTCCGTTCCGCCAGAAGCCGTTCCACCGGAATCCGTTCCGCCAGAAGCCGTTCCGCCAGAAACCGTTCCGCCAGAAGCCGTTCCGCCAGAAACCGTTCCGCCAGAAGCCGTTCCTTCAAGTTCCGTCGCAAGTTCATCACAGTCTTTGGTTGACCCCCGTAGTTGGGTTAATACCAATAGTTCAATTGATCCTAACAAGTCGGTTGATCGCGACAGGTCGATTTCTGCAGAGATGGCGACCTTTATGGCCCTTACCCTTAACGAATGCGCGGAGAGAGAGAGAACCGAGAATTCAGTGCTGACTGAAGCGGAGAAAGGGAGTGTGGCGAGGTTTGCTGCGTATACCTTACGACGGGTTATATCGTCCGTTGGTGAAAAGTCGGTTTCGGGAAGGGGCCGCAGTGTGAGAGCGAACCCTTTCAACAATTGTAAGTGGCGATGGTTGTGTCTGGTGGGGCTCATGAATGACTATTTGGAGCCCAATCTGTTTCACGAGTTAATTGCTGACTGTGAAAAGCGTGCGTCGCGACCAAAACATGTGTCGCCTTTGTGGTACTTGGCCTGTCGGATGCAGGTCTCTCTCAGCCCACGGGAGATTGCTGCGGGTTTCAACAGTTGCCTGAAAGCACTTCCGGCATGGTGGACATCCAGCAGTTCCATTTATCAGGATCACTTCCCCCACGATTTTGGTGAGCTACCTATGTCTGAGATGTCTGCCCGCTTAATTGCCTTCAGTTCCAGAGCTGCACATTGGCTCGCATCCGGACTTCCCAGATTCCGTCTGACACCCAAAACATGGTCGCGCACCCCAAATCGTGATGTTGTGGATGTTTTTCACACGGTGCTTGGGCAGGTGAGATTCAGCCAAATGATCAACTTAATCAAACCAAAACTCTGTAAACTTGGCCACACCCCCCTAGTAATCGGCCAAGCAACAGACAAGACCATCATGGAAGCCGTCCTCAAGTACGCAAAAGTGGATCGAAGATTGAGCCTCGCATTCTGTAAAGCTTGGCAATGTGATGTAACGAGACCTGATGGGACGACCTCGGACTCGTCCGGGGATGAACCCCCGACAAAAAGAAAGAGCCTGAGTGGGGTTTAGGGCTGAGTGGGGCTGATCCGGGCTTAGGGCTGATCCGGGCTCAAGGCTGATCCGGGCTCAAGGCTGATCCGGGCTGGTTCCCTTCCCACACACCTCCAGCACAACAGATGTGTGTGCTAGCATGGCTCCGAGTTATCTGGAACAAGTTTGTTGCTGCGATTCCGCGTACAACATGTTCCACGCTACGTTGGGTGTGCGAGAACTCCAAACGGAAACTGCCCCACTGACTCCACATGTCAGACACTTGCCACTGGTTCTGCGTGATAGTTTGTCCTGTGTGTTGGGGGTGTTCTGATTGTGTGAATGACCATCTTTTATTTCTGTAACTTACCCCCCATTTTCGGATTGGTATGCGGGTGTGTTGTGCTACTCAAAAGAGCCGGTGGGTGGTCGTGGCTATACTTGGTGTGCCCCGGCCTGTGGGAGGGACGCTGCCAAATGAGCCAAATGATACACCGGTAGATTGTTCTGGTGGACCTCCAAAATCTTCCCTCACGGGATTATCGGTAACCCGCGAGTCGAGATCGAATGCAGTGGCCGAAGGAGACGCGTCGCACTACGGCCAACCAAACACTACCTTGGTAACGCTGCAGGGGCCGTCCGAATGGGACTGGGTTGAGCCTGCTTTCGTGAAAGCAGACTCGAGGGAACTTTTGGTGCAAGACTGCCCAGAACCGAAGGTGGAAGTCTCGGGGGAACCGTCAATAAGACCCTTTTTGTTTGAAGCCTGGTATGAAACTGTGAAGGAGCCTTTCTGGGAACCATTGCCGGAAGTCCGTCAAGAGCCTTTGGTGCCTGTCTCGGCAAGAGCTTCAGTGGACAGCGAGTTGGAACTTTTGATTGAAGCATGGCCCCAGTGTGTCAAGAAAAGCCCATACGAGATATTGATAGAACCCTCGAGGGACCCACTCATGGGACAGTTGGAGGAAGCCTCGCTTGAGCTTGTGGGGGAGGTTTTCGGAGAGCCAGCGGAAGCCTCATCTGAGCTTATGGTGGGAGTCTCGATGGAATCGTTGAAAGAAGTCTCGATGGAACCGTTAGTGGAAGCCGCAGTGGAGCCATTAGTGGAGACTTGTCCTGCGCCTTCGGGGAAACCCGGAGCTCGGCCAAGTTTAGTCCTTAGGGTGCTGGACGAGTGCCTAGAGATGGAGAAAGATCTCAGACCCGCTCTCCGACCAGATGAGGAAGAGGAGGTTGTGAGATGGGCTGAGACTGATATACTGCAGGAGCTGAGGAACCGAAAAACTACGGCAGACATGTCCATTTCCGAGTTCGAGGCGTGTTCGTGGAGATGGCTCAAATTGGTATTGTTAATGCGTGAGTGGCAAGACAAAGGGGGTAGCTTTAAAGAAGTGATTTCAACGTTGGATAATCTTGTATCGAGACCTGTTGGGTTATCTGACATATGGTTTCTGGCAGGTATGGTGCAGAGATTTGTTTCGTCTATGAGTTTCTCTCGAGTGTTACATCGTACTCTAATGCCGCATAGTGGTTGGGATTGTCGGAGGATGATTTATCGTGAAGGGTTCCCAGATACAATTGTTCGTTTGCCTGAGAGTGAGGAATGTGTCAACCGAGTTAGCGCCAGCTCAAAATTAGAATGGTGGCTACGTCAGGCAGAACGAAATATTCGTATTGACGAAGACACATGGACGGTGCCGCGGCATCTAGCGTCGCTCTTCAGAGTGCAGCGTGTTCTGGGCAAGCCAACATTTGACGACGCTATTGAAGCAATGAAATATCGTATCCCGCCTCCCTCCTACGCCAAGTTGTCAAATCGACAGTACCTTGCTTGCTTACTCAAGTATGTAAAGACCGATATGTCCAAAAATGTTCATCGAACTAAACCCTGTCGTGACCCTCAGGCATCGTCCACTGACCCTGTTGAGGAAATGAGGACCTTTGTGGCGGGCATGGTTGAAGAATGTTCGCGAAATGATAAAATTGAGGAACGAAGTTCGACAATGAAGAAGTATATTGCTGGATATGCTCTCCGGAGCTTTCAGGCTGTCTTATCAAGGAAGCGGGACAAAGGGTATCGGATAAGGAACCCTTTCAACTCGTGTGGATGGCGTTGGTTATCTCTGGCGGGACTGATGAATGATTACTTGGAACCGGAATTGGTGACTGAATTAATTTCAGATAGTGAAATGGTTGTACCGCGACCAAAACATGTGTCACCATTATGGTACTTAGCCTGTCGGATGCAGGCCTGTCTGAAAGGCACGGACATTGCTCGCATTTTCAACGGTGACCCGCCGTCCTGGTGGATTTCCAATACTGTAATTTACCAAGATAGCTTCCCCCAGACCTTTGGCGAGCTGCCGATGTCTGAGAGGTCTGCCCAACTAATCGGCTTCAGTTCTAAGGCAGCACATTGGATCGCATCCGGGATACGCAGATTTCACACCACCAATCGAACTTGGTCACCTACTCCATACTTCAATATTGTCGATAGATTTCAAGCAGTATTAGGAGACATAAAATTCAACGAAATGATCAACTTGATCAAACCCCGATTCTCGACCATCGCCCGGGCCCAACATAAAATGTGCAATCTATCAGACAAGGCCATCGCCGAAGTCATTCTCAGGTACGCGGGTGTGGCTCGAAGGGAGAGCATTCGCTTCTGTAAAGCGTGGCAGACTGGTAACCTTGAAAAGACGGATACGAACTCGTCCGTAGACGAACCATTAGCGAAAGAACCACCGGCGAAAGAACCACCGGCGAAAGAACCACCGGCGAAAGAACCACCGGCGAAAGAACCACCGGCGAAAGAACCACCGGCGAAAGAACCACCGGCGAAAAAAAAACGAGATGGATGATCCCCGCCGTGCTTGCCTGCCTTACCGGCTGGCCTTACCAAATATACTCTTTCTTTCTTTCTTTCTTTCAATAATCAACAGCCCAATGCCAACTACAGGCTTAAAGCCGGGTCACACTCGTTGTGTTCGCAACCCCCGTGTTCGCAACCCCCGTGTTCGCAAACCTCGAGAGGGTTCCCGATTGGGAAGGCAATCGAACTACAACGCGCACTGCTGCTTGCCGATGGGGACCATAGACCCCTACGACGCAATGCCGTAGAGGCAATATCAGGCTCCCGAGAGCGACGGCGTCTCCCAGCCAACTATTAGCACACAATACTGTACCGAGCCGACTAGGATCAGATACATGTAGCTTACATCATGAAGCGAGGATACATGTAGCTGCCGACATGGTGGTGGAGGTGTCAAGATGACGTGTTAGACAGCAACAACAAACTTTAGGAACACATTCCGTGCAAAGTTGCTTTCTTCGACTTAAACTTGCTGGATTTTTGAACCGGAATGAGGAAATGTTATGGCGGCCACGAATTCCGATGGATAACCGTGGCCGTGTTTGGGGTTCCCAACGTGGGAGGGACGTTACATAAGGATGCCGGATATTCGAGAGCGAGAGCTCCTCTGATGAGCTCGACCTTGCCGCCGATAGCCCGGACCTCAGGGTTTGCTGGAGTGGCTGAAGTAGAGGCACTGGACGTACCGTACCACAGCAATTCCGTGCTAACTGAACCTCTGCCTGTGTCCGCCTTGGATATGTGGCCTGACGCTTGGAAGGAAGACTCGCGGGAATGGTCGATGGAGGGCTCAAGGAAACCGTTAGTGGAAGCAAACCTGGAAGAACCACTGATGGGATCCGCCTTGTCTTGTTTGGCCATGGAGAGTTCCTGGAAATTACTGGCGGAGACCCCGCCAGAGCCGTCGGTGGCAGTCTCCTCGGTGGAACAGATGACGGAAGCCTGGCCAGAGCTTTTGGTGGAAACCTGGCCTAAATATCTGAGGGAGGCTCCGTTGGAACCATTGATCGAAGTCTTGTTGAAGCCATTGATGGAAACGTCGCCGTTGATGGAAACTTGGCCATTGATGGAAACTTCGCCGTTGATCGAGGCTTCGGTGGAACCACTGGTGGAAGCGTCAAGGCGTCCGTTGCTGGAGCGTCTGAGGGCTGAGACCTGGCCTGAGCCTTCGATTACAGGTTCAGTGGAACCTTCGGCGAGAGTCTCGGCAGAAACCTCGGTGGCGGAGACGGTCTCAGGGCATAACCTGGTCGCTCGCGTATTGGAAGAGTGCTTGGAGAAGGAGAAGGACAATGAGCCAGTTCTCAGCCCAGATGAGGAATTGAGGGTTGTGAGGCTCGCGAAGGCAGCTGTCATGAGAGAGCTGAGCAAACCATCGAGTGGCACAGGAGTGTGGATTTCCAAGCTGTCTATATCTGATTTCGAAGCCTGTTCGTGGCGATGGTTAAAGTTAGTATTGCTAATGCACGCATGGCAAGACAAGGGCGGTGGCTTTGGTGAAGTGATATCAGTATTGGAGAGTTTTCTGCCGAGGCCAGTGGGCGTTAATGATACCTGGTTCCTGGCTGGTGTGGTGCAGAGATTCACTGTTGCCGGATATTTGTCCCGTTGGCTGCCTCGTACGGTACCGGTGGGGAGTGGTTGGCATTCTCGGACTCTGCTTTATCGAGTCACCTTCCCAGATGATGTCGTTCGTTTGCCGGAGACTGAGGAATGTGTAAACCGGGTTTGTGCCAGCTCTAAGTTGGGGTGGTGGTTGTGTGAGGCTCAACGAAATATCCGCATTGATGAAGAAACGTGGAAGGTCCCCGTCTGTCCAAATGCCATTTTCACTGTTCAACGAGCTTTGGGCAAACAGATATTTGACGACGCCCTGCAGGCAATGAGGCGTATGTTCACCCCCCCGTCTCGAATGTCAAATGCAATGTTCGTTGCTTGCTTACTCAAACACGTTGACACAATGAGTCTTACTAAAAACATTAGGAGGCTCCGGTTGACTTCCTCCAGTTCCACTTCCTCCAGTTTCAGTCAGCCGTCACCTTGTTCTTCTGACATTATTTGTCACGATTCGGTCCGTCCCGATGGGTTGATTGACAGTGATAGATCGGTGGATGCGGAGATGACGTCCTTTTTGGCTCGCGTGATTGAAGACTGCGCTACAAGAGAGAGAAACGAGGCAGTAAGTTTGACGGGAGTGTGGTGTGTTGCGAGGACTGCTTTCGAAGAGTTTGAGGCTGTGCTTTCCTCTAAAAGAAAGTCGGATGAGCGGCGGCGTGATGGACGGACAATGCCCCTTTTCAACTCGTGTGGATGGCGATGGCTGTGCCTGGCGGGACTGATGAATGATCACTTGGAGCCGGATGAGGTGCGTCAATTAATTGCTGAGAGCGAAAAGTTAGTGCCTCGGCCGAAACATGTGTCACCGTTGTGGTACTTGGCCTGTCGGATACAGGCCTGCCTTAGGGTACGGGTCATTGCTGCCGGCTTCAAGAGCTGGCTAAAAGCACCCCCAGCGTGGTGGGTATTCAGCTGTGCAATTTACCAGGATCACTTCCCCAAAACATTTGGCCAGCTGCCGATGTCTAAGAGGTCTGCTCGCCTAATTGCCTTCACTTCTAAGGCTGCACACTGGATTGCATCCGGAATCAAAAACTTTCATGTCACCAAAAAGACACTGTTACCTAGCTCATATGGCGACATTGTGGATATCTTTCACAAGGTTATGGGAGACCGATGGTTCAACGAAATGATCAATATAATCAGACCAAAGATCTCTATTCAAGCCCGACAACATATGGGCCAGATGACAGACAAGTCCCTCATGGAAATCATCCTCAAGTACGCACGGGCGCAGCGAAATATGGCCTCCCAGTTTTGCGGCCTATGGCAATTTGATATCGCTTCGAAGAGATCTGATGACTTGGCAGATGCGGAATCGTCTGAAGATGAGCGGCCAACGAAAAGAGTCTGCAATAGATGATCTACCGGATGGCTGCATACACAGTACCACTACGGAGATCGCTACCATGCCGATGGAGACTGTGGAGAGTGCCCTTTGCTCCAGTAAAATGTAGCTGCTGCCGTTAGCCCACAAGGACCATGTGGTAGACAACTACGAATTGTAACCAATGGGTCCGTGTTTTTCTTTTTTACCGTGTGATGAGGTGGAATATGATCGATAGTGACAGCACAATCCGGCCGGACCGATTCGGTTCAACAAACTAGAACCGAAAATTGGAGCACGCAGTTCGTTGCTTCATGTATGATAGACTCATGGTGGTTTGTAACTTCGTGCACACCCCCTCCCTCACCGAGTTAAAGTGCTGGTCCGAAAAATTCCGAAGAAATTCGGACAGGGAGGAAAATCGTACCATGCCGAATCGGATACGATGTCAAGATGACGTGGTTAGACAGCAACAACAAACTGTTAGGAACACACCCCCCCGCGAAAAGTTGCTTTCTTCGACCCCAACTTTTTTGAACCGGGATGAGAAAATGCTATGGCGGCCACAAATTCCGATGGGTAACCATGGCCGTATTTGGGGTTCCCAGCGTGGGAGGGACGCTACACAAGGATACCGGATATTCGAGAGCGAGAGCTCCTCTCATGGGCTCGGCCTTGCCGCCAGTAGCCAGGGCCTCGGGGTCAAGTGCTGTGGCTGAAGTAGAGATACCGGACGTACCGTACCACAGCAAATCTGTGATAGCCGAACCTCTGCCTGGGACCGCCATGGACACGTGTCCTGACGCCTGGAAGCAAGACCCACGGGAACGATGGATGGAGGGCCCAAGGAAACCTTTAGTGGAAGCAAACCCGGAGGAACCACTGACGGCGTCGGCCGGGTCTGGTTTGGTCATGGAGAGTTCCTCTGAATTACTGACGGAGGCCCCGCCAGAACCTTCGGTGGCAGCCTCCTCGGTGGAACAGATGGCGGAAGCCTGGCCAGAGCTTTTGGTGGAAAGCTGGCCTAAATATCTGAGGGAGGCTCCGCTCGAACCATTGATTGAAGCCTTGTTGAAGCCATTGGGGGAAACCTCGCCATTGATGGAAACCTCGCCATTGATGGAAACCTCGCCATTGATGGAAACCTCGCCATTGATGGAACCGTTTGTAGAAGGCTCCGGAGAACCTACGGTGGGGGTCTGCCCTACACCTTCGGTGCAAGGCTGGCAGTGGTCTAATTTTGTGGCTGGGGTGGTTAAGGAGAGTTTGGCGAATGAGAAGGATTTAAAGCCTGAGCTGAGTCCGGAAGAGGAAGTGAGGTTTGTGACTTCTGCTAAATTCGCTGTCCTTAGTGGGTTGCGTAACTTGCAAAAAAGTGGGGCATATACTCCTGACATGTCGTCGATTCCCGACTTTGATGGTTGCTCTATGCGGTGGTTAAAATTGGCATTGCTAATTCGTGAGAAGGAAAATGGCGGTTTCTGTAAATTGATTGAAGAGTTAAAGAGCCGCGTTTCAAGACCGGATGGTTTACCTGATACGTGGTTTCTGGCTGCCGTCGCACAGAGACTGGTTTGGTCTCGGTGTTTGTCTACTTGGTTGCCCCGTACCCTATCACTGCGGAGTGGCTGGTACTGTCGGAAGCCGGTTTTTCACGTCTGCTTTCCAGATGATATTGTACGTATGCCGGAGAGTGAGAAGTCGGTATACCGGGTTTGTGCCAGCTCTAAGCTCGCCTGGTTATTTCACCAGGCACAGCAAAATATTCGCATAGACGGGGAAACATGGAAGGCCCCGGATAACCCAAGAACCCTCAGAATTCAACATGGTCTAGGCCCGAGAATATTTGGTTATGCCTTACGGACAATGAGGCGTATAATCCCACCTCCGCCACAGTTGTCAAATGCAGAGTACATGGCTTGCTTACTCAGGTACGCTGAAATAACGCCACCGAAAATTTCCAGGGCCCGCTATCCTGTTACCACCGGCAGGCTTAAAGCCGCCCATCGCCCTCAGTTATCCTCGTCTGATGAGGTACCCTCCTCGTCCATTGTCGTTCCCGCTTGCTCGTCAATGACTTTGGTGTCAACCGATAGATCGGTTGCTCCGGAAATGACGGCTCTTCTGGCAGGCGTGCTTGAGGAGTGCGCGGAGAAGGAGAGAAACGAGAAGGAGAGAAACGAGAAGGACAGAAGCGAGAAAGAGAGAAGCGAGGAAGAAATACTGTCCCATGCGGGGAAGCTTGGTATAGCGACGTTTGCTGCCGACAAATATCGGGGTGTGGTGTCCTTCAAAAAGAGGTCAGCTGAGCGGTGTGGTCGGAAGCAGAGGGCGGACCCTTTTGTCACGTGCGGGTGGCGATGGCTGTGTCTGGTAGGGCTGATGAATGATTATTTGCCGCGGGAGTTGGTTGACAAGTTGATTGCCGATAGTGAAAAGTTAGTGCCGAGGCCGAAACATGTGTCACCATTATGGTACTTGGCCTGTCGATTGCAGGCCTGTCTGGAAGGAAAGGACATTGCTGCGAGGTTCAGTATATTGCTGGAGGCGCCTCCGCCGTGGTGGGCTTTCACCAGTGTAATTTACCGTGATCATTTTCCCCAGACGTTTGGCGAGCTACCGATGTCTGAGACATCTGTTCGATTAATTGCCTCCAGTTCCAGAGCTGCACACTGGATTGCAACCGGAATCGGCAAATTCCGAGAGACACGAAATACATGGTTACCTAGCTTAAACGGATCCATAGTGAACTCCTTTCGCACGGCAATGGGAAACAAATGGTTCAACAAGATAATCAAAATTATCAGATTAAAAATCTCCAAACTCGTATCTGAGGCGGGCCTTCAACGAATGCAGCAGTTACCAGACAATTCTGTCATGGAAACCGTCTTCCGGTCTGCATCGATGAGACGTAATTTCAACTCCAAAGTCTTAAGAAGAAATTGGAGACTAGATATTGCTCTGGATCCTAAGGAGTCCAGCGAGGCAATGGACTCTTCTGAGGACGACGAGTTAGTGGCGAAAAGAGTGTGCTGTGAATGACCGTACCACTCTACCCAAGCGTACCTAGCCACCGCTACTTTAAATATAAAATATGGTTCCCCTACCCGACAGACAGGGAGCGGAACTAGATTTGCTTTCAAACCACGATTGTTCAAACGTGGGTACTGTGTGTTTCGAGGAGAGGGTACATCTTGGAACATGGTGGGTACATATAGCTGCCGTTCATACACAAGACGTCAGGATAATGGGCGTCGGCTTAGAGGGCACACAAATTCTTTCACAGGATTTTTTGGCCGGAATGAGGACATGTTACGGCGACCATGGGGCCCGGTGGGTGACCATGGCCGTATTGGGGGTGCCGAACGTGGGAGGCACACCACCCAACGATCCCGGATGTCCGACAGCGAGCGCTCATCTGAGGGGCTCGGCCTGGCCGCTGGTAGCCGAACACTCGTGGTGGAGTGCGGTGGCCGAAGGAGAGACACCGGACGTACGGTACCACGGGCAGGCTGAGGTACCGCTGCCTCAGCCCTCCGGGAATGCCTGGCGCGATCCTTCGATGTCCGAACCTTTGTTGGAAACCTGGCCTGATGAGCCTGTAGTGGAAGCCGGGCCAGAAGCATCGATAGAGGCCCCGTTCGACTCCGAACTGATGGAAAGCTTGTGGGAACCGTTAACACTTGCCTGCCTTGGGCCTTTGATGGCAGTCCCGCCGGAACCTTCGGAGGAAACCAGCCCAATGCCGGTACTGGAAGCTCAGTCGGAACCGTTGGTGGAAGACCGGCAAGAACCGCTGCTGGCGGTGTCGGCCGAACCTTTGGTAAAACCCTTGTCTGAGCTTGTGATGGAAGCCTGGCCTGATCCTGTGATGGAGACCCCGTCGGAGCCCTTGACGGAAGTCCCAGAAGAATCGCCCGTGGCGGTCTCGTCGGAACGTTTAATGGAAGCCGGGCCTGATCCTGTGATGGAGGAGACCTCGTTAGAACCATTGATGGTTATCTCGGATGACTCTCTGACGGAGGTTTTGAGGGGAGCCTGGTCAGAACTTTGGGGGCAACCCTGGTCGATGCCTGTCATGGAGCCATTGATAGAAAGTTCGAGAGAACGGTTGGGGGAAGTGCGGCCTGAACCTTTGGCAGTAACCCCGCGGCGGAAACCATTGGTGGAAGGCCTGCAAGAACCACTGCTGGCGGTGTCAGCCGAACCTTTGGTGAACTCCATGTCAGAGCTTGTGATGGAAGCCGGACCCGATCCTCTGATGGAGGCCGCTTGTGAGCTATCGACGAACGTGTGGGAACCGGCGGTGGGGCCTTCAGAAAAAACATGTTCTGGATCTGCCGCGGACGCCTGGTCTGGGATTTGGGCGAAGGCCCCGTGGGAACGATCGATGGGGGCCTCGAAGGAACCGCTAGTGGGACCTTTAACCGAAGCGTCTCCTGCGCATTCCACGGAAAGCTGGGTTGGGACTAAGTTAGTCGCTTCCGTGTTGAAGGAGTGCCTGGAGAAGGAGAAGGACAACGAACCCGTGCTGAGACCAAACGAGCAACTGAAGGTGGTGAGCTTGGCTAAAACAGGTCTCCTGAGAGAGCTGAGTAAACATACGATGACTGACTTATCGACTTCCGACCTGTCGATTTCCGATTTCGAGGGCTGTTCGTGGAGATGGCTGAAATTGGCATTGTTGGTGCGTGAGTGGCAAGACAGGGATCAAGGTGGCTTTACCGAATTGATTGAGAAATTGGAGGCCTGGGTGCCGAGACCGGTTGGTTTATCTGAAACCTGGTTTCTTGCTAACGTGATGCAGAGGGTCATCTCCAGCGGATATTTGACTCGTTGGTTGAGCCCTGCTGTGTCATGGCAAGGTGGTTGGAATTGCCAGAAAATGGTTTATCGATTCTCCTTCCCGGATGAAGTGGTTCGCTTGCCGGAGAATGAGGAATCCGTAAACCGAGTTTGTGCTTGTTCGAGGCTATATTGGTGGTTTCATCAGGCTCAGAAAAATATTCGTATTGACGAGGAGACCTGGAAGGCCCCGAAAACTCCAAAACCGGTCTTCACTGTTCAAGGAGTTTTGGGGAAGCCGGGATTTGACGACGCCGTTACGGGAATGAG